TAAATTGTGCAGCACCTTTCTTTTAGTGTAACAAAAATAGCCATGAGTCATCTATGAAGTAGGGGAATGGGCATCAATGACAAGGAACATACGGTAGTTTTGAAAATGGGTGTGAGCTACAGTGACACTCCTTTTTCCCATAACTGGGACGTTAAGTGCTTCATGGGCTCATGTCTCAAGTCATTTGCATTCTGTAGCTCATCCTGATTGTCTGTGGGCAAGTCTCTGTCAGCCTGTCTCTCTAACAGGGCTGTTGTGGGAAGTGAAATATAGCAAGATAAAAATTGTAAAAATATCTTGTAAGCCAGGGATGAGAAACTACTGGCCATTCCGATGCTTGGACTATGAACTCCCACAGTCCTTCACAATTGTCCTTGTTGGGTAGAGCTTCTGGGGGTTGAAATCCATTGTCATCTGATGGGCCAAAGTTCCTCACATCAACTGCAAGCTAAAATGCACCACTAAAGTAAGAACAACAAAGAGTCTTGTGCCATTTTAAGGACCGACACATTTATTGTAGTGTGAGTTTTTGTGGACTATAGCCTACTTCACCACACAAATGCTTGACTTCAGAAATGTTTAACAAAACCAAAATCAAAAGAAAAGTATTGTTTCACCTTTAAGTCTTAACAGATTTACCTTAGTGTGAGCTTTCATGGAACTCAATCCACTTTCTCAGACACATGAAACAGATTAACCTAGTTACCTCTTTGGGAATTGGCAAAAGAAGTGGTTCAAAAACCAGTGGGTGAACACTTCAGTCTCCCAGGGTACCTTGTCGTTGACCTTAAAGTACCTGCACTGGAACAAAACAGAAAGAAAGAAAGAAAGAAAGAAAGAAAGAAAGAAAGAAAGAAAGAAAGAAAGAAAGAAAGAAAGAAAGAAAGAAAGAAAGAAAGAAAGAAAGAAAGAAAGAAACAAACAAAGAAGGAAGGAAGGAAGGAAGGAAGGAAGGAAGGAAAGAAAGAAAGAAGGAAAGAAAGAAGGAAAGAAAGAAAGAAAGAAAGAAAGAAAGAAACGAACAAATGAATGAATGAATGAATGAACATTTTAAAAAAGCAGAAGGATGTTAGAATGGCAGGCTATCAAATTGCATTTCACTAGGAAGTTCCAGTACCAGAGATTTGAATCTTGTTTCTTATCACATGGTGTGTGCTAATTCTTAGGATGTTTGTGTTACCTGCAACAGTATTATGAATAACTAATGTTAAAAATGTAATTGCCACTGTCGGTGCTTTCTACATTTCCCTCTGACTTGATTATCTCCAGTCCCACCCATAGCCATGTGTATATATCACCATATAAATAATATGCCTTCTTGGTCAAACATTTGTCATTATGCACAATGCTGGAGAGATGACTGATTGTCAAAGCAATTAGGCTCACCTTTCTGCTCAGTTCTTTCCCTCTGTAGGTGGGTATGTGAGCTGTTCTCAACAGGGCTTGCTTTGACATTATGACATGGTCTTGCTCTTATACCCACTTCCCATCCATACACCTCCAGTTCTTAGGTTCTGAACATGAACAACAGAGCAAAAGAAAATAGCAAGATAAGTTTGAGAAGGCACATCTGCAGATCATCCTTTCTACAGTTGGTCTATTGAGATGTGACTTGATCTTGGTAAGGGCTGGTTCTGCCTCTGCTTTAATGGATTAAGAATACATGAATTCCTAAGTCCCACTCTCCTCTCTGCAGTTCTTTTATTTCACAAAGTTGGCTGAGTTTGCATAGGAGGCTGCAGTTCATGTGTGTTCCTCTCTCTAATTTTTTGGCACATGAGCTACTCTGTTCAGTTCTTGCCATTACAAATCGCTATACAATGCCAAAGGGATGTGTGTGGGCATCCCGCTTCCTCCTCTCTGAACTGGAGCAAGCATTGTCCCTGTGTAAGAAACTGTGCTATCTCTACAGAAACAGAAAAGAAATTAGCTCCCTTCTGAGCACAAAGGGCAGCTGTCTGTTGCAGCCCTTGACTTAGCAATAATTTGGTTGAGCTGAAATGGTGATATGACAGCCAGCTCTGGGAGAGTATTGCCTAACTTTTGTAAAATAGTCTGTAATGAGGACAAAGATTGGCATCTTGATGAGTACACAGCTGCTCCCCTTTAGCCACTGTGCGTCATCTCCTCCTGCCTTGTGTGTAAAGTCAAATACAATTGATCTGTGTCTTAACATTGCAACGATCCACAGTTCCCCACCCCATCAGTGGTGGCTGAGAAGGAGGAGGAGGAGGTGGACATGTAAAACACTGTTGTTACATCAGGGTATGGATAAATGATTCTAACTATCACAGAAGGGATGTTAGGAGCTAGAGACATAATGACTGGTTTGGATAACAGATATCTTATAACATCTAATTTCACTCCATGTAATTCTTGTGGTTTAGGATCTAAGGCCCATCCCTGCACTGCTGATGGTCGAGTGCCTCTGAGCATTTGGAAAGTGCCTTTTTCTTACCACCCATTAATAATTTGTGATCCCTGACATTGTATGTCAGAGATTACACAGCAGGCTGGCACCCTGTGATCCACACACCCCCTCCCAGTCTATGACTCCATCATTCCTCTTCCACAGTTGGGAACTTCTGTCTTTGGATCACAGAATCCCATGATCTCCTATGACATTGGTCATCCTGGCTAGGAAATTCTGGGAACTATCATCCACAAAAGGCACTTTTCTCAGCACTGCTGTCTCCTTGGAAGGAAGGGGCTGTTTGTTGTTCCCAGTGGTCATTCCTGTCAAGAAACTGTTATCCACCCACTGATGGAAGCCAGTTCCTCCATTTAGGGTCAACCAGTGCTTTAGCCACAAGGAAGTTAGACTTCCTATTAATGTCAAACAGTGATGCCTAAAGCTCTCACCTGTCTAACGAGAGGTGGCCATTCTCTTCTTCCTTGCCTCCTTCCCTCCATCCTTTCTTCCACCATAAGTGAGAACCTTTTTCTTCATTCCTCAGGGATGCTGCACTTTCTTTCCATGCACCAGAGCTGAGATCTATAATAATGGTTGTAGTGCCACAACTCCATTTCTGTTTGCTAAGGCATTTAGAATTTGCTCACAGAATGTGTTTCAAATTCAAAACATTTACAGGTCAAAACACTTAATGCTCCCATCTGCATTTGAGAAGAGTAGATAGTGTGTGTTGTTGCTGAATCCTGCCTTGGCAGAATATATAATTGCAGCCTGTTAATTTATGACCTGTCTGTGCCGCAGGCTGGAACCTTTTCTGTGCTGGAAAAAAGGTGGGTGAATCTGTTTCAGGCTGCCTGCCATCTATTTCCAATATGAGAGTCCCAGGTCTCCTCCTCTATGATCAGACCTTGGAAGGGAGATTTTTCTGGACTAAAGTTGCAGTGCTGGCTGGGAGATTCTGGAAACTGTAGTCCCAAAAGGTAATTTTTCCAAGCTCCGATGGCTGCTAGAGCTCTTAGTATTTGTTGTGCATTTTATAATTATTTTTATAATTATAATGGGGCTTCGTTCATGATTAGAGAGTGACACAATTTAAAAAGTCAGCATGCCGCTAAAAACAGGAATTCTTTAAGTGCTGAAAATGTCCGATTGTCAGAGTGCAAGCTCTTTACACCTGTAGTTTGAGAATTAGCTTGTATTGTTTTGTAATTGATCATTAGGAGGTAAACATGGGCTGGGTTTCCAATTTTTATTTCTCACACATGAAGATCTGCTGAAGTGATACCTCTAGAACACCAGCATGGTCTTAAGATGTCTATCCTTCCCTATGTTATGGGTGGGAACGGAAAAGAGTAACTTAGGTTTATTGCTACTGGTTTTAATTTCTGTATTTTTATTTTTGTTTTCTATAATACATATAACACACCCAGAGTAGTGCTGTGATACTAATGGAAATGGGATAATAGATAGATAGATAGATAGATAGATAGATAGATAGATAGATAGATAGATAGATAGATAGACAGACAGACAGACAGACAGACAGACAGACAGACAGGCAGGCAGGCAGGCAGGCAGGCAGGCAGGCAGGCAGGCAGATAGATAGGCAGATAGATAGGCAGATAGATAGGCTGAGATGGCCCAATGTGTCTACAATAGAAACAACACCAGACAGAAATGAGACAAGGGGGGAAAGTATCTTCTGAAGTATAGTATTTGGGAGATCTTCCCAGATGTGGGCTATTGACTGTTCAGTGGAAAAAGAACAAGAGTTGCGTGTATATTCAAAACTATTGCTCTTCTTTACATCTTCCAAAGTTCTGGAGAACCTAAGGAGGACGTGAGATACAACTAGCTTTCACCATGGAGTGTGTGTGCATGTGTGTTTTTGTGTGTGTGTTGAAATGTGACCAGCCTTATTCTTGGATTGTTTGAAGTCGGTGGCTAAGTTCATATTTTAAGCATCACTAAGAGCTAGGTACAAGAGCCCTATTCAGGCATTCTAAGACTTTGTATGCTTAATCCACAGTTTTGCAGTGCCTGAATAAAGCTATCCATTGGACCACCAGTTTTTGCTGCTTGGAAGCAAATAGTTTCTCTACCTTGGTACGAAGGCCTGCAGCTAGATGGAATTAAGACTTGGTTCAGTAACCCCACCTAGGCGAATTGAAATTAATTGGAAGAGGAAATACTCAAGCAAGCCTATATGCAAAAGAATTAAATTTACATGTTTGCCAAACATCTCCCAAATTAATACAATTTTCTCAGTCACAAACATTGTTGGATTTAGGAACTTTCAAAAACAAGGTAGAGCATTCTGTTTGTTACATTAATATTTACTACCAGTAGTAGAGAAATATGAACAGAATTGTAAGATTTGGTCCTGTAAAATGAAGTCTTAAAAGGCAGCATTTTCAGATTCTAAGCATAAAATTGTATCAACTCTATCTGAGCTTCTAAAATGCAAGTCCTATGTTTGGTATTACTCCTCCATGTGCAAATAATATAGGTGTGATTCTGAGTTAAATGGTGCATATAATGTTTAGTTCCAAAGCCAAGCTGAAATTTGTGTTTTTTTTAAATGCAGGTTCAACATATTATGACAATGTGCGCCCACTTGCTTATCCTGATTCAGATGCTGTTTTAATCTGTTTTGACATTAGCCGCCCTGAGACCTTAGACAGTGTCCTTAAAAAGGTAAGTTAACCAAAATATTTTAGTGAGATTGGAATATTGCTGTAGAGCTCTGGACAATCTTACAGTTTTGGGGTCTGATGACAAAATGTCATTTTTCACAGCCAACATCTTATAGGATAATCAAGAACTCCTAAGTTGTTCCAAATGACAAATGTGCCATGGACTGTGGCTTTGACTTCTGTCATGGTATCTCTTGTGGAAACTGTGTTCCTGAGAAGTTTGGCTTGTGATTGTGTAAAACTGCAGGACACTCCAGTCATTGTCACGGCACCTAAATGTACTGATCTGGCAGCAGTAGCAGTAGCTATACATCTCAATTTTTGTTTATGAATACAGATTGCCTTCTTCCACACCTTGCTTCTAAAGGAAAAATGCACTTTTAAAAGTTGCTGTAATACTACCACATTTTGCTGGAACAGATCTACATCAAAAAGTAACCCACCCACCTCGGCTGCTGTGTTCCTGAAATTTGATTGCTGTGACAGCAGGGCATGGCCCCTACTGAGCTGGGGTCTAACAGACTCCCAAGGCAGCTCTCATCCCTAGTGCATAGGGTCACATCTCCAGTCCTCATGCTTATGGACATGTCTTCGGCAACATGCAGGCGAGTGCCATTTTCTAGAGGATGCTGTCCACATGCAAAAACAAGCAGCTGTAAATAGAACAGTGTGTGTTGCAGGAGAAGGATGAGGAACATAATTTTTTAAACTGGGTCTTTGCACTTCGGTCTGTGAAATAATATGTGCCAGCTATGAATTACAGGTGCCAGAGTTAAAAAGGCCCCCAAGTGCATAGCAAGATGGTGGACTTAGCTTCCTACTAAAGCTAGATCAGAACAACTTATGTCAAAAGTCTTTTTGTTGGAATACTGAATTAATGGAGCTCAAAGTGATGAGTTTGCCTATAAATGATGAGTTGGGAGCCCTCCTCAGATATCCGGCTAATCCAAACGGTATCTCTGTGACCTTGTATAGACCTATGGCCTTCTAGAAACTAAAACAGTGTTTTAAAATTTGCATGCCCTCAGTATTTATTTCAGCAACTTATTCCTGTCATTACCTTCTAAAGCAACCCTCCTAGAGGCTTTTGTGGTAACCTGTGGGTTTTGGGCTGTGGTTTTTCTAAAGCGGTGCTTGAAACAAATGGGTGTCCCTCAGGAGAGAGCAGTCTTTCATTTCCCTCCAGTGCTCTTTTCACTGGCTTGTGTGGCAAGGAGGGCTCCTCGGGCACTGTAAAGTAGAAACTGGAATTTAGCGCTTTTTTGATACTGAAAGAAATATGGGCAATCTTAAAAGCTCTGTGTTTGCCCCCCAGGCTGAGATGTGAGCACATCCAAGGTGAGGAATTCTCATAATCGCTGCCTGTCAGATGCAAAATAGGAACTAGCTTTTGATTTCCACAGAGCTTTGGCTTCACACAGCTTGTAAGGCCAGAGGGGAGGCGGGAAATCACTTGGGACTTTGAATAAACAGCTTTATATAAACTTGCTCACTACTGAACTGGGGCTCCCTGGAGCTGCCAAGGTGACCCACACTTAGTGCCAAGAAAGCTGAGTCCCAGACTCTATGTAAACTGTGTAAATAGGAGGATTTTCCTGTATTTGGTTATATTTCATGCTGTTGCTTATTCTGCATCTATCAGTCATGGGTAAGAGAGGCAAAGAACTGACAAATTCAGTCCTGTTCAGTTCCACCCCTACCCTGCCTTTGGAAAGCTTCCACCCTCCCTACACTTCAAAGCTTTTGTAGTCTTAAGGTAGAGAGGGGAACCTCTGGCCTGCCAGATATTGTTGGACTTCAACTCCCATCATCTGGCCAAGGGTCAAGGGATGATGGATGTTGTAGCCCAACAGCCTCTGGATGGTAACTCATCTACTGCTGCTGCCCTTAAGATGAGGGTGGGCAGAATGTGGTGTGTCAGCCACATGCAGCCCCAGTGGCTTTTTTTATTTCTGCACAGTGCTCCAGCATTGAAAACATAATTGAAAGGAAAAAAACATCCTGTCTTTATTATAGGCTTGCTTTGTAACCCCAAAAAAAGAGAAAAATCCTCAGGATACTGTATGATATGAGAAAAGATCAATCCCTGATTTTGGATGGTGTGATAGTGGTATCATAGCATCTACTTAGTGATATAAAGAAAGAATGCCTCTGAGAATATGCAGATAGCTGAGCTGTCACCACTGAACAAAGAAACCAACTTTCACTAATTCGCTAAAGCTTTCAAGAGTACATTTGACTAATTTGTTATTTAAACCACTTAAACAGACAGGAACTATATAACATATATGATTATATATCGACCTGGATTGCAAGCTTTCAGGGAAGAACATGTTCCTTTAAATATATATATACATTTGAAGAAACATATTGCTTCCTGAATGCTTGCAATCAGGATTTTGTGGAGCATAGAATTTCTTTCTTGCATTCATTCATTCATTCGTTCATACTATGTACTGATTTTGGCCTTGCTGCTGACTCTATGGAACCTGGGATCAAATAGAAAAACTTGCCCACTGTGTCCTGTTGCTATTTGAGAAACAACAAGTTGCTAGGCTAATGCCTAGCAGTACAGGGGAGACCAACTTTAAAAATGTTATTTTGGAAGGTAAGGGTCTGACTGCCAGGAATATCCAAAAGTACGAGGGAAGAGAATGAACATTACCTGCTCACCTCTGCTAGCACCTTGAGATGAGCTCCAGAGTAAGAGAGAGGATAAAGTGTAAAAGAGGTTACTTGCTGCAAACTATAACAGTAGTGATTGTTGTCTCTTAAACTTGGGCACTTTGGGGAAACAGCATGTTGGTTGTTAGGGACGTTCCATTTGGATTTGGGGAGGTAATGGGCAGCAAGACTACACTTCCCAGAAAGCACAAAGACAGCTTCTTTGTTTTTCAAAGTACATACAGGCCAAAGAAGATGCTGATGGAGATAAGGAAATCTGGTCTATAGACTTTGGTTTCTGGGCTGCAGAGTTCTACCTGGGGAGTTCCTGGAGAATGCTGGGATTTGGAGTCTTAAAAAAGGAGAAAGTCCCATCCCTTGTGGGCAAATTTGGTGTATTTGGCTCGGGTTTGTATATTGTTCATGAATGATATTAATAGAACAGTCGTTGATATTGCCTGTTTTTTAGATAAAATGTTATAGTACTTCGGTTTCTTATTGTAACTAGTGTATGTGTTATTGCGATGTTGACTTGCTTCTCTTGGGTTGTGAGCTGCTGTGAGTGTATTTTGTGAAAAAACGGCACACAAATTTAAACTGACAGTATTCTTGATGATGTGTCAGTTCTGCAGAAGTGGAAATGTTTGAACCAATCCCCTTGCCAACAATTTTAACCCATTTTCTTACTTTATCACGTTCTTTTTTCTTGCAGTGGCAGGGAGAAACCCAGGAGTTCTGCCCTGGTGCCAAGGTGGTTCTGGTGGGTTGTAAACTGGACATGCGCACTGACCTGAACACTTTACGGGAACTCTCCAAGCAGCGCCTTATCCCCGTCACACACGAGCAGGTGTGGGTTTTTTTTTGGTTTTTTTATAATAAGAATCTGGGCTTATCTGTATCATAGGTAACAAAGATTTGTTTCAGTCCATGTTTAATAGAGTCTAGTTCATGTACTAAATATTATAGTTGAACAGGTGCTAATATGTTTATTTTTGGATTTGTAGTGGAACAGTATTTTGATGCTGCTAGTTTCCATAATTTTTAAATATAACTGCTGGCAAAGAGATACAAGTTTGTGTTCATGACTCTAAAGATGTTTATCAATTAATGTATCTCATAACTTGCACACACTATATTTTGCTTCAAGTACATGCAGTGCCACAGTTGACTATGAGTCTACTGTGTGTGTAACCTACATTCAGGTGTAGTAAGAGAGGATTCTTGTCTATTAAAGCCTGTTTAATCTGTAGATAATCAATGTGCATATGTGTGCTTGCATACATGTGCATGCACACAAAGAAACACACACACTTCTCTCTCCTCACATAAAAAGTGCTTCTCAGAAGGAAATAAGTACAAGGCAGCAAAATTTTCAACAGGGCAGAAAACTGCAAGCAAATTAGACAACCCACATGTTTAGTACTGCTAATAATTCTGAAACAGGAACAATCCTTCCCAGTCCAAGTATGATAATCATAACCCTAATTTTACATGAATGTGATTATGATACTTGATACTTTAAAAGAATTTCTCTGCATGCTTTTTGTTTAAATTGTGCTGCAGTCCACCCTATGGCTAGTGGAATGGGCAGGACAGAAGCTTAAATTAATCACACTTGGAATTCAACCATTTGCAAGTATCAGTACAGAACACGAGCTGGCTTTTTAATTTTATTTTATCATATGAAGCCAAGCTTTATCATTAGGGTAAGCAGCCATTTCAAGTGGCAGATCCTGAGTGGTACAGAAAAGGCAGTGGAAACAGACCCTGGTTGGAGGATGGGGCTATACAGTTCAGGCAGCAGATTGCCTAGACGCAGCGATGGTGAACCTGTGGCACGCGTGCCACAGCTGGCACACAGAGCTCTTTCTGCCGGCACGTGAGCCATAAGTCGCCAGATCGCTCCCCCACACACACAGCCAAACCTGAGCAGGCGGCTGCAATTGCGGTGCTGGTGCTTGGACAGGCGGTGGGTCAGGATTCAGAGCAGCTGGTGCTGGCAGCGAATCTGGAGTGGGGTCTCGAGGCACCTCCGTGCCCGGGATTCCCCCTTCTGCCACCACTTCCGGTTCTGCCACCACTATAGCGGTGGCACACCGCCCACTGTCATTTTTTCTTTTCTTTTCCCTGTTTGGGCACGCGAGCCCAAAAAGGTTTGCCACCACTTGCCTAGAGAGTCACTGCTCCAGACCTACTTTGCATCAGCTTCTTGCTGTCTAGCTGCAGCTGCCAGTCTTGTGGCACATCCAGGCAGGCAAGCAGGCAGCTCTCTTGCTGTTTGGCACTGTGGCATTCACAAACACGAGTGTTTTTCTTGTCTCCCTTCCTATTTCTTACCTCAGCACCACTCGCTATCTGAAAAGAAGTTTCTGTGTTTTCACCTTTTAGGGAAGAACTAAAATTAACTGCTGGGTGTGATATGAAAGAAACACATAAGGGTAGAGGTGTCTGAGGGAGATGCTAGATGGAGAGCTTCTCAGAGTGAATTGATTACTCTTTATTGAGGAGGTGCTAGGAAAATGGCACAGAGCTTGAGAACGTTATTTCTTTAGACTACAGTTCCCAGAATCCTCCAGCTGTGATGGCAATGACTGCTGGCTGAAGGCTTCTGGGAGATGTAGCTCCAAAACAGAACTCCCTGAATTTCTGTGACTGGTGCAAGATCTTTAGAGAACTCTGGGAAAAACACTTATGCAGAAGAGTTAGAAAATAACAAATAAACAGTTCCTAAAAAACAAAAAATGGGAAGAAAGCAAGCATCTTTGTATGGGTGAAATGTGACATAGTGTTTTAATGTGTTTCCCCCCCACAGGGCAGCATGCTGGCTCGGCAACTGGGTGCCGTGGCATATGTTGAGTGCTCTTCCAAGGTGTCGGAAAACAGTGTGCGGGATGTTTTCCATGTGACCACCCTGGCCTCCGTCAACCGCATGCACAAACACCTCAAGCGTAGCAACTCCAAGCGAGGGCTGAAGCGGGTCACACAGATGCCAGGACGGACGGACTTGTTGACTGATTCTGAGATCCGCAAAGACCGGGCCAAGAGCTGCTCAGTGATGTGAGAGAGCAGGAGAGACCCAGAGGGACTGAAGTATAGCATTGCCTGTCTTGTTCATTATCTCGCTGTACAGTAACTGGTCCCGGGGAGGTCTCTGCACAGCAGGCCTCATTCCCCAGGATGTAGGTCTGAGAAAACTAAGCCTTCCCTGAAAACACAGAGGTTGGACAGGGGAGGGAACTGCCTGATGTTGGAAATGCTATGCATAGGGGGGGAGAACGTCTGAAGTGGCTCTTGTTGCACAGGAATGCTCAGGTTGCAGAAATCCTCCAAAGAAAGGAGCACATCACTGTGTGAGGCACAGGTGGAAGAGAAGGGTAAAAAAAAGAAAGAAAAGATACTTCAAATCCTCTGAAGAGTCATTATTTTGGAGCTAGTTTCAAATGTGTAGCTGTATCCAGGCAACTGGGTGTGTCCGGTATTTTTTTTGCAGCCATGATGTGTCGTGGTCAGGCCACTCACATCGCATGTGTGTGTATGCGCACGCGCGTGTTTGTTCAATGTATGCACAGGTGAGGTGCAGGGCTGGTGCTCATGCTTGAGGCCAGTCACAGAATAAAAGAGTTGCTGAGACAACAAAATGGTGGTCAGTTTGACCAGATGGAATTGCTGGTGTTGGGTGGCTGGGAATAAGGGGAGTTTTTCTGTCAGAGAACTCTAAAGAAGAATTCATTTAATCCCTGCCCCCCCCCACCCTCAGTGACTAAACAGGCCCATTTCACTACTTTCTAGACACTATAGATGGAACGCTGCCAGGTAGGTGGGTGCTATGAAAACATTGTACTTCTTTTTGCAAACAAGTTCGGCTTTGAAGTTTTTTCCTCACAACGAGAGCTGGAAAGCTAAGTCATCACATCTTCTTGAGCCACCCTCCTCCCTTTCCCAGCACAAGCAGTACCTTCAATCTGTTGCCTTAGGTTTTGGTGCATGGCGCCTCTGCGTGCCTTTTTGGCTTGCTCAGAAACACAAGGGGACCAAATACCATTTTTGCAGCCTCTTCAGCATCATAGGAAAAAAGCCAGTTTTTCCCTACTTCCCATTGCTGCAACTTAACCCCTCTCACATACATTGTGGATAATGCAGAAGTACTTGTGGTTGTGTTTTCTTCCTAAGAAGCGGACCTCTCCCAGTGGACAGACAGTAAACTAACCATGGAATTGCAGAACAGCATTGTTGTGGTAATGTATTGGTGTTCAGTGATGCTCTGTGATTTTTTAAAAATCTTTTCATGTGTACCCAAGAAAACACATTGTTTCCTCTTCATCAGTAAGTGGACCTGCTTCTTTGTTGCATCAGGAGGCATTGATTAACAGCCATTAAGAAATGCTGCTTTGTAAATTCCTCTTGTTGTGAAGACTTGGAGAAATAGGATCTGGTGAGCCCTTGCATCAGCATGTGTGAGAGAGGGAATCCAGGGAGTAACAAGTCACATTAGTGTAATTTAAGGATCCTGGTAGATTACTGAGGTGAAGTCAGTAATTGCTGCCAGGGGACAAATCTGAGCTGAACAAGACAGCAAACTACTGGGTAGGACCATGGGGCCAGAAAAGTGCATTGAGTTGGTAGTATCAGTCTCTCACTTAGCTGGGAAAAATGCATCCCAGGCTATGCTTTCTAATGCACCTTTGAAGATTATGTTCTGGCAGCCGTGGTGGGTTGGGGGTAACGTAGCTAAGGCTTTTAGTGGGCAAGGAGCATTTATCCTTCTGAAACTCGGTAACTTCCACAACAGCTGCTAAATTTCAGTTATTTCTCAGTACATCCAAGGGCTTTTCCAAGGTGGCACTGGGATAAGTTTAAGAGATGGTGGTTTAGGGGACACCAATCTGGCAAAAAGTTGTGATTTCTTGATGGGGATTCTTGATCTTTGAGCCACCCTTGGGTCTGTAGCAGTGCAGTAAATACACCCTAAATGTGTTCTGGATTGTTCTGTCTCTTCCAAAACTTCACATTAAAAAGAGACTCTGGGCTAGAGATCTGCTTTCAACCTAGCTTTGAAGAAGTGAAGGAGAGCAAAAGCTTTTAAAAGTGGAAGCCCTGAGACAGGACACATGGAAAGTTATGCCATAGTTGCATCTTATGTGCTGATCTGCACAAAATTGGCACAATTATTGCAGATCACCCTTCTGCAACCTGGTGGCTCCTAGAGATGCTGGAGTAAACCCCCACTACTTCTAGCTTCTCTCCCACACACACACACACACACACACACACACCATCTGTATTTGCAGCCTCAGAAAATATGGCTCCTGACATCTCTCTTTTGGAATGAATCTCTACAGTTCGTTTGCCCTCTTGCAAGATGTCAGAATTGGCAGCACTGTTTCCCTGGCTTAAGAGAGCTATTCACACGTAGGATTAGCAAGGGCTGCCTGTTCTCCCTGGCTGCCCAAAATGGCCCAATTGTTCATGTGCCGGGTGGGAGCACAGCGGCTTCATTGTCCTGGCCTGTAAGCCAGAGCTGAGCAGCAGCTGGCGTTCCAGCATTCCATTTTATAACCCCGAACTTGGTCTGAGATTTTGACACAGGTTATCTCAGGCCATAGTTGACTGTGATCCAATGATGCAGAGTCTCGAGGCTTGAGGCTGATAGGCATTTGAGTCTAGCAACATCAGGAGGGCCACACGCATGTTCCTCCAGCCTTGAGCTTTAAAAAATTGGATTTGGTGATTAAAAAAAAAAATAACTGAGAGCTAGGACTGCTTGTCTCCCACACCCTGCAGTGTAGTACAGTGATTATACTAAGTTGATAGGTATATTGGCAGTTATAAAGGGCTTCAAAACAGGTCATTCATGGCATGATTTGCCTGCTAAGCCCAAATAGTCCCTCTGATTTTAGATGTTACTGTCACCTGCCTTGAAGCATTATTATTACATTTCTAATACGTGAATTACCTCCCCTGCTGAGATAAAAACCTTATTAAGAGAACAATTCTTTCCTAGAGAGTTGTATGTTCCACTCGTCGCTCCTCAATAGCTTCTTAGGCTGTTTTGTATTCAGTCTGCACCCTGAAGCTGGGCGATGTTATGGCAGAAGGAGCTGACAGTTGGTCTGTCAAATGGGGTGGGGTGGGTGCCTCTCGATTACAGCCTATAACCTTTGATACATTCTGGTAAACCAGGTGTCAATTTCTAAACTTGTTGTATAATGGTAGGCATCCGTATGGCACCAGTTTATTGGCTAACATTTTTTTTCTGTGTGAGGGCCCCATTCTCTGAGAGATAAAATGTTGGCAACTCAGAATTGATCTGTGTGCGGTAGGTGGGGCTGAAGCTAGCAGTGGTTCTAGTGCTTCTTCCCTCCCTTATTTATTTCTATTTCACCCCTCCTTTCTTCCAAGCCTGACAGCAGGCTGAGAGAAAGTCCAGTCTTTCCTACAAATAGCCCACATCCATGGCTTGTGGAGGCTTTTGATTTGAGGCCGAAGCCTACATGAAATTAGGCCAAAAGACGCATGTAGTTGTCCTCCCCAATCCTTAACTCGTACAAGAGAGTGGAAATTGCCGCCTAGAGTGGTCGCAATGACCAGATTTGGGGGGGGGGGTATAAATAAAATAAAATAAAATATAATGAACGAACGAAAGAACGAATGAATGAATGTGTATTTTAGGGCAGCATCCTCACTGATTGGCCCTGGGCCTCCTATGTATGTCTATAAGTCAGTGCTTCTGAGGTTAAAAGGCACCTCTCAAAGGAAAACTGTTTCTGATTCTCTTCCCATTCCCTCTGGCCTGACAGGGATAGCAAGCCCTCACACACACACACAATGAAGTTTTGTGGATATATGTTTAAGGGGTGGGCACTTTGTGAGATAGAGTAGCTTATTAGTGCTGTTATTTTCTTGTCTGGAAGAGAGCCTTCATTATGTATTAGTCCTGTTTTTAATGCTGTGGTGCTGACCATAAATGAACCTCACTAAGGCAAATTTTAGCATGTCTATATTAATCATTAATAACATCCTCCCTTTGTGCTCCTTTACTAAAAGCTTCATAAACTCCAGAATTAACTAGCAGCGGGACCTGCAGCCCAGGCCATAAATCAAAGTTTCCTTTCTGCAGAAAAAGGGAAAGCCTCGCTTCCCCATTTACTTAAGGACAAGGCAGGAAATATATAGCCTAGATGCCAGTAGGTTTGAAATATGGTAAGGGGAGTTACATTACAAGGGGAAATATAATACAGTGGTGCCTCGCTAAACAATGATAATCCGTTCTACTGAAATTGCTGTTTAGCAAAATCATTGTCTAGTGAACAGCATTTCCCCATTGGAATGCATTGAAACCTGTTTAATGCGTTCCAATGGGGAAGAATCGTCGTTGTCTAGCGAAGATTGGCCATAGGAAAGCTGCTTTGCGAACCACCGATCAGCTGTTTAAATCGCTGTCTTGCGAAGCCTAGGTTCCGAAAACACCTGTTTTGTGAGCGCGGAGGGAGCTGTCAAAATTGTCGTCTAGCGAAAATCAGTTTGCGAAGCAGGGGCCAAACATTGTCCAGCGAAATTCCCCCATAGGAATCACTGTTTTGCGAATCGCTATAGTGATCGCAAAAAGTCAATGTCTAGCAAAAAAACTGTCATGTGGGATAACTGTCTAGTGAGGCACCACTGTATCCAAGTTTAGTATGAATTTTTTAAAGTCATCTGATGCACCCCACCCCACCCCACTCAAGATGTATCCACAGGATCCCTCACAGATGGATACCTGGCATCTTGTTAAATGCCTGCAGCAAAAGAGATCCCAATACTTCTTGAGACAGTCCGATTCATTGTTGGCACCTTTTATTTCAAGGGAGTTTGGTCTAATAGTTAGCTGAAATCTGTTTCCTTACAATTGTCGCCCCTTGGTTCTTACCTTGTCCTTTGGGACAACGAGAGTGCTCAACTCTCTGTGTCAATCTTCTTCAGGTAGCTGATGGTGGTGATCCTGCCTCTTTTGTCTACCTTAGAAGCACCCAGCTCTTTTCATTTCTCTGAACATGCACCTGTTTCTTGAGGTCTTTCTTTCAAAAATTATGCCCAGAACTGGGCACCAAACTGCACTTATATGCAGCCCGAACAGTACAGAAAAAAGTGGAACTATTGTGTCTTGTGATCTGGGTGCTATGCTTCCTTTCAAACATCCTAAAATCACTTTTGCCTTTTTAGCAAACTCTGCTAACTCTTGTTCACCTTGTGATCCATTAAAACACAAGGATGCTTTTCGCAAGCAATCATAGAATCATAGAAAAGTGAAGTTGGAAGGGGCCTATAAGGCCATCAAGCCTAACCTTCTGCTCAATGCAGGAATGCAAGTCAAAGGATATCTGCCAGGTGGTCGTCTAAATTGCTTCCAAACCATCTCTCCCCATAATATATTTCTCACTTTTACATTTTTTTTAAACCTCAAGACTGAACAGTCAGTTTAGCTCTATTACACTTCATTTTTTTTTCCATTTTAGATCTGTGTTGATGTCTGATCATTTCATTTCTTGATCTTGTATTTCTAATAGTATTTATCCCTTCTAGCTTTATTTCACATAGCATTCCCTCTGTGCCCTTCTCCAAATGATTTATGAAAATGATGAACATCATGGAGCCTAGGAAA